TCTTCCCTTAGAATGATGACACAAACCCTTTTCGACATTGTTGCCATCACCGAGCTTAAACCAACTGGGGAAACCTATGACCCAAACTTTCTAGCTGAAGACTCTATAGGTTTTGACACAACTAAGGCTGCTTTCACCACTTATATTTCATATTATCATGACAAGGAATCTAACGAAGTCTCTGATCAAGAGCACATTGATTTCCTTGCTCTATGGCTGTCTCGCTGCGTATTTTGCTCGAGATCCCTTCAAGTGAAAAAGAGATATCTAACCATGGCGAACTAACTGCATGTTGGACATAACCTTTGTCTCAGCAAAATGATTCTGGCCAACCTCTATGAGTCTTTAGGGGAAGGCATCATAACTCTCAAAACCATTCAGTCCAAAGAAAACTTGTTACTCTCTGGCCCTTTCTGGTTACTGCAACTATGGTCGAATGCTACCTTCAAAGCATCTTTAACAGTTCACAATAAATAAATGAAGATGCCGATGAGATAAAGAACAGGAAGGTAGAAGGGACGCGTCTTGCTATGCTAACTCCTAATGACAAAGGGTTAAATCTTCAACAAACCTTCATTAGGTATGTCATGATGTTCTCCAAATGCTACAACTTCATATCAAGCATGGCTCCCTTTGCTGATAGAAAGCATGACCCTGAATGGTTCATAAGGCAATTCCCTGCTCCGTCGAAGGACCAAGAAGCAGAATCCCTTGCATTTGGAAAGCATTCCTTACCCCTAGGCTATTGCCCACAAATCTTCGACCCTTAAGACTTCAATTCACCCTCCTTAGCTATCAACCAAATCTTGTCTCTCGATAGTTTGGTCTTATTTAGATTAAACCACAACCACTCTTTGCCAAGAAGAATTCATTAACTCTTTACAACATGATTCACACAGAAGCCCAATGCAATAAAGAATTGGCTCACTATGCTAACATCATGCAACTTACTCCTGTTGCTTTTAAGACTTCATTCCTTTGCACCAAAGAATTTGATACTTGGTGGAAGAATTATTATACAACTGAAGTTTTTGACGTTCCCGCCTTTACCCAACATCTAACTCATGATTTTGCCTGTGTAGGAAAGAGTCAAGAGAGGTACTTCGACTCACATCAGAGAAATCCAAGAATTCCATAAGTACTTTGAAACTGCCTACAGACCTGATGATCTTAGTCGAACCATTCACGAAGCAGCAGTCACCTTGAAAGAAAAACTTACAAAGAAACTGGAGGATTTAAGACTACCTTCGTACGTTAGACCTGAACATGTATCCCCTAAAATTTCCTCGACTGCCAAGTGCTGAATTTGGTATGGCTTTTAGTCCTCCATTCCCAGACTGGTTCGTCTGTGGGAATTTTGTAAAAATCCTTCGACAGGAATCTCAAAAATGTGCCAAGCGGGTGGTTTCGACTAAGCGGGTGGTTTAGATAGTTTCAAAGGGCACCTTCATATTGACATAGAAAATGTTCGTGTAGAGTCTCCAATATACGAAGGTCTGGAATAGGAGGTCTTTCGACTCACCTCTTTTGTCAATTCCTTATTCTCTTTTTACTTGTGATAATTGTGTTGATTTTCCAGCTTTGAGGATTCCTGCCAAGAAGGCCACTACAGAGAAAGGCGTTGTCGAAGAAAAGGACGAGGAAAAATCCACTATAGCACTAGCAAAGGTAGACTTCTCCTATTATTATTATTATTATTATTCTTAAGTATTGTCCTTATATTTTAATACCTGAGATATCTTTCTTTTCAGGCTAGTCAAAGACCACCACCCACTCCCAAGAAAAGAAAGCATAAAGAAACTCAAGTCTAGGTGATTGAGTTAGATGACGAACATCTATCTTCAGATACCTCCAAACAACCCAAAAACACGAGGCACTGATGTCCCTGATGATGAAGAGGATCACTCTATGTTTGAATTCGACACGGAACCTCATGAGGAAGAAAAAGAAGATCAAGAAAATGATGACAATAAAGAAGAAAAGGAGCAACAAGATGACCCACCTAAAGCCAAACCAAACCCTGATGCTGCAAAGGAAACCTCAGGACCTTTGACTGGAACTACTACTACCCTCTCCCATGAGAAACTAGAACCACTGAAGCCATGCATGCCATTGGAATATTTGAAAGCCATGATCATTTCCAGGTGCAGTTCGACTGAGAAGAGTGTTGGCACTTCGACTGCGTCTGGTGACCAATCTGCAAGCAAACCTGGTGATGACCTGCTTCTAAAAATTAAAGAAAAGGTCTTCGACATTGATCTATTCCAACTTTTGGAGAAATGCATTTCTACTTGATTTGGGATCAAAGATCTCCTGAAATAAGTTGATGTCTTGACAATTTCTCCAGAAATTGGGGATGTCATTATGGACTTGGGGTGGCTGGTTGATCCAGTTGTTGCAAATACTAATTGAATAAAGGAGGTTTCAAACAAAATAAAGAACAAATCAGAGACCCAAGCTCCTGAATGGGATGCACTCACTGAATCTACTTCCAGAGTTGCAGAATTAGAGAAGGGCTCTGACCAGAACAAAAAGGAAATCGAAGCCTATGACAAAAACGTCAAAGCTTGGGAACAGCAGATCAAGGAGTTGGAAGTCAAATTTTTCCAAAGCCAAGGAGCGCAAAGACAAACTCCTAAAGTTTGATCAAGATGAACTGGCCAATAAATTCAAGTTGGCATTGCATCGCATCGAAAGGGCTCAAAAGCTTGGGAAGGAAATTGATGGCATTGCTACCAACAAATCTGTTTGTGAACGACACTTGAGACTTTACAAGTCGAAGTACCAGAAGTTGAAAGATTCTTTTCCTTTTTAGCTTGGTTGTAATTGTCGAATAATTGGTTATTTTTTGTAATGATGTTAAGCCCTCAACGACATTCATGTAATGACTTATCCATTTTGACAACCTATGCATCTTGATTTACCATTTTGGCTTCGACTGTTGTGTATGGATTACTCTTTCGTTATTTTTATTTCTTGAAGTGTAAGCTTATATTATTTCAAATATTTCTCATTCACTCTCAAGGCTCTTCGACCCTCAGCTAATTCTTCGATTTCATATGCACCGTTATAAGAAACTTGGATAACTTGAAAAGGGCCTTCCCACTTAGGGGATCATTTACCCAATACTCTATCTTTGGACCACCAACAATGGTTACCATGAATCCTATACCTATACAGACACTCCAACCACACTTTTACGACCTTCCCTGGCTAGCATCAAGAAGGTCAATTGGTTTATGTTTTTAACAAGAACAAATAGTTCTCAATTTGTTTGTGTTTTCAGTGGTAGAATGGAAGAAACAAACCTCCACGTTTTCTTCGAGTGTGATTTTATTTTGCAGGTTTGACACACGGTGTCTGTTTAGTTCGACACAATAGATTTTGTTGAAGCAGACTCAACTTTAACATCTTCACAACATATAATTTTTGCAACGTATAATCTTCGCAACGTGTAATCTTTGCACCTCTTGTATTTTTGTTTATTCAATTTTCATTACTTATAAAAAAAAATACTACATAATTCATAACACTTTTTTTAGATTTCAAACATTTTGCTACACTCCATATTATAGTGGATGCTTTTATAACTATATAATGAATAATGAAGAAGGGAGCCTTTCATATTCTATGTAAACAAAAAATTCATAGCCAACTCTTTTTATTAAAATATAATTATGGATATGATTTGACATATAGCATATTAATAATGATTAGACTAACCATTGAGTTTTATTTAACTAACTTCAAATTAATTTTTTGTCTTCTATCTAGTTTAAAAGAGTTAGTTAAAATTGTGAAAATGTCACCTTGATATACTTCACACTGATTACTTAATTAACTGATGTAAAATGTTTATGTGAGTTTTTTCTTCAACCATTGAGTGTCACATTTATAAGTAAAAAAGAGTCAATTTTTAATGTAGTTTTAGTTAAATTTTTTCAATTACAAACCATCCCATTCATATTATTTGTATCGTCCTTAAATTATTACATCCCCTGTCACTTGTCACTATTATAAACTAACAGAAATTTTTTAAATTTATTAAATAAATAATATATTTATCGTTATTATATACTACATAAGTTAATTATTCAATGAATCTAAATTTTTATTATTATTTATAATAGTGAGCAGATGATATACTTTTTACTTAATTTATATTTATAATAATAAAAGCATATAGGTATCTAAAATAAAATATTAAAAAATCTCTTTTAAATTAACCAAAAATCTTAAATTCAAAACACTAGTCTCTATAATTAAACATTAGTTTGATAAAAAAACTAACCTTCAAAATTTAGTGGGATAGATATTAATAATAAAAATAAAATAAAAACTGTAATCTCTATCATTACCGACAAAAGATATCTGATTTATACTAAAAGAAATCATTATTGTAGTAAAACAATAGAATTATAGAACATAATATTTTATTTTATTTTGGTGACCCCTTCAAAGGAGTAGGTTGCAAAATACATTACACACATGCCTTAGAACTGTCTAAGTTCAGAAACCAAACAAACTAACAATGAGAATAGCAAAACATAGAGATAAAAAGAGTGGCTTTTCTTGAAACAAACTGCGTTGAAACTTTGCTTCCATGTATTATTGCCAATGCATCTTCCTGCTTATTTCCAATATATACCTAAAATCCTACAAAAGTATTTACATATATCAATATATTTCATATCATCGTAACGATATAACTAATGAAAATAAATATCATCATAACGAAATTATATCAACCAAAAATTTCTTTCATATTATTTTCGAAAAATCACCACAAACTTAAAAAAACCTCAAGAAAAAAAATCCTTCCAAAAAATTTCACAATTTAGAGTATAGAAATCATTTGAAAGTGATGTCTTAGAGTATTCAAATCACTTATTTTGTTTCATTGATATATTTTTATAGTCAAAATTTTCTTCCTTAAATTATTTTAGTAATGAACTGTGTTGATGAAGAAGCATACCAAAGGATCTCCTATAAACCACTATCTAGTAGTGGTAAGGTGGAGGAGGTGATGCGTAGATGTAATGTGGTGGAGGAGGAGAATAGACTGGGGGAGGAGGTGAAGAGTAGACATAATGTGGTGGAGGAGGAGAATAGACTGGGGGAGGAGGTGAAGAGTAAACATAGTGTGGTGGAGGTGGTGAGTAAACAGGTGGAGGAGGAGATTTATATTTGTAAACTGGTGGTGGTGGTGGTGAGTAAACTGGTGGAGGAGGAGATTTATATTTATAAACGGGTGGTGGTGGTGAGTAAACAGGTGGAGGAGGAGATTTATATTTGTAAATTGGTGGTGAATAGACAGGTGGAGGAGGAGACTTATATTTATATATTGATGTTGGTGGAGGTGGAAATTTGAATGGCTTTCCTGGTGTTGGAGGAGGAGATATATATTTGTAAGGAGGAGGAGGTGAATCGTACTTGTAGACCGGTGGTGGTGATGATAGATATTTGTGTGGAGGAGGTGGTGGAGATGAATACTTATATGATGGAGGAGGTGACTTATACACTGGTGGAGGTGGTGACTTGTACTTGTAAACTGGTGGTGGAGGGGAAGGGTATTTGTATGGCTTTTCTAGTGGTGGTGGTGGTGAACTATAATGATAAGGTGGAGGAGGTGAGTGCACAGGTGGTGGTGGTGAGCTGTAATGATAAGGTGGAGGAGGTGAGTGGACGGGTGGTGGGGGAGATGAATAGATGTAGTTGTTAGCTTGAGAAGGCAAAGTGAGAGAGAGTAATGTGAATGCAATAGTGAGAGTAATAGAGGCCATTTGAGACCCCATGTTATCTCAAAGATGGTTTAGTTGTTGTTATTATGAAAGATAGCATCACTCTTTATATAGTTTTTTCTTTACCTCAACTATTCATCTTGCTTGATCTAGTATGATTTACTATGATTTGATGCATATTACAATTCTCCTAGTATTCAACATCTACCTTTAAAATATTATATTCTCATTTTTAAAATATTATCTTATATTTTATATTTAGTGTTCTAAAATTTACATGTCGAACTACTAAATTAGTGAGTTACAGGTATCAAATTTATATAAATTTAAAATATATGAAAAAATCATAAAATAATTTTTTTTTACAAAAATCTCATAATTACAAAATCTTAAAAATATAGAGAATTATTTTATAAATTTTCATTAAATTGGCAAATACTGAAATGTGAGAGAAGAAATATTTTATAATAATGAAGAAAATAATGGTCTGGCTTTGAATAAGTGAGTATGTTTTTCGAGCAATGTAAAGGTGGATTTGGCTTTGACATAGACAGCAAAGTATGCATGAATAAAATACGTAGCTTATTACCTAAAAAATGTTGACAATGTGCCTTTATTTTCTTTATAGTGACCATATACCAATCACTATTTTACTACTTTTGTTTGTCAGCTATTTTCAAAGTAAGTAAAATCAATACACGCGCAGTCCTTGTTCTTTTTCAATAACAAACTTTGAAAAAAATTACATATTATGTTGTGTTTCTTAGCTTTAAGTGAGTGATAAGTCTCAAATGAATCCGTAGAATATTAGATTTATGATAGAGGTTGCTTTATATATAAATAAATAAATAAATATATAAATATATATATATATATATATATATATATATATATATATATATATATATATATATATATATATATATATATATATATATATATATATATATATATATATATATATATATATATATATTTAATGTCTTGAGATTTTTGGTGGGGATGTATCATCTCTTCTCTTTTAGTTTTAGTTCATTTGATTTACTGTTGCTCTCAGTTTCTCTAGACAAATCGGACCTCTTTGTATTAAATATTTTTTATTTCAGGATGAGCATACCCATCATAATGGATTGTTTCACACTTGAGAAAAGATTATTGTGATATAAATGTGAGTTTAACTTCCGAATTACTTGGAAAAAAAGATAAGTGAGAAGAATCATATTCCTAATATCTTTAAGTTTTAAGGAAAAATATGATGTATGTCTCATTTGTGTGATTTCTCTTGATCTAATGTGTATGCTCACTCATGACCCAATAAAATAAATATTATTTACATAAAAATCAATATATTGCAAACACATATTATAAAATCAGTGTCATTTTGATTTATAAATATATTGAAACAGAATATCCAATGTATACGAACGTCTTTAAATTCCTCTAATATGAATGATATAGTTTCGTCAAATATCTATAGATATTTAAAGAAAATGTAAGATCACTTAATTTCTGATAACTTTTTTCTATAATAGACATGTAATGTAAATTAGTATAGAGTTGTTAAACTCACTGATAGGGGCATGATCATAAGAAAAAATAACACTATGAATTGATTAAAAATTTGTCTCATAAAAAACTTTGTGAATGCGAGGTGTATATGTTTCTTTTTAGAGTATTTGTTTTGAGAGGAAAAGTTTATAATAGTTCTTTACACTCACAAATGTTACGGTATTGGATAACGTTTATGGTTTATCTATTGTGATTTTCTCATAGTTTAAAGCAATATTGAAATGTGGTTTGTGAATGGATTACAAGCCATTCACAAACCACATTTCAATATCGATCACTTTATTTATTTTCATTGTGACTAATTTTCTATTCAATGGCAAGGAAGTAACTTAACTGAAAGAGAAATAAGCACAAACATAACTCATTTATCAAAGAGAACTAAGAATTATAAAATTTTGGGGCAGAGCAAAGTTTTGGAGTTCCTCTTTAATTGATTGGTACAAAAGGACATAAAAAAAAAGCATAAATGCAGACTGTTGAATTAGGAACTATCATATAGGCAGCAAAAGTCATGAAACAGAGTAAGGTCATCTTTGTATTGTTGATTCTGCCTTTCCCAAAGGGGTCTCATCTATGCTTTCCTATTTTATAAGTTTTGATTTTGCTCCACAATGTATGACTTTATTGATGTTGACGTAGGAAATCTTTTCCTTAGATTAGGGACCGATACATGATCTTTGTGCTGATCATAAAAAACTTTGGTACCCAACCCTAAATCTCAGGGTGTTGATGTTCATATTTGGCGATGCCTCATGTGCCCAAGTGGTCATGCCCAAGGCAAATTTTTCCCACTATTGCATCTACTCAGGCTACTGCAAATGGTGGTGAATTCCTTCAGGTGGTTATTGCATCTCAGGACGGTAGACATCATCCTCTCCCTGCTCCTCTTGGCCTTAGATTTGGTGTTGAGGTTGGAGTGTCTTGCGAATGGAACTTGATGTGATTGGAAGTAAATAGTTAATCATTACATCTTCTGGGTGCATCGGGTCTCCTTCCAACCTGCACAGTTTGTTAGAAACACAGAAATTCCGCCTAGTTTTTTTGGGGGCTTCAACCACTAATTTGATGTTCCTATCAATTAACCTCCCCAAATTAATAGGCTCCTCATGCAATATTTCCATGAGAGCCTGACACCTTCTCACTGTTAACTCGGATTAGGTTGAAAGGTTTGGATTAAAAATGAAACCCAAGCTTTAGGTATCAGGAGCATCTCTCTAACCTTAAGCTTAATGTACATGTCTTGAGCCATTACCCACTCAGCCCTAGATGACAAAACTCTAGTCACATCATCTCACTCATCTCGTCAGACAGACGCCACTTCCTACTATCTTGAACACTACTGTTTGGAGGAGCTTGAAGACGAAGAAGGGAATTAATAGCTTAGAGAAGAGTAATCAATACTTTTACCTCTAACATAGGATGTATACTCATAAGACTCTCGATTAGCCACGTTCGTGTAGAACTCGAACCCAATGGTTTCATTTGTCTCCTTAATCAGCATAATCAGGTAATTCAATCCTCTTGCCTCCAACATGTTGCTCAACTATTCAAAACCATTGAGATGCTCCAAATCAAAAGAACCCACCTCAAAACTGTGTATTTCTTTATCTGCGTGAATTTTTTTCGTGTTTAGTTTTGTTCCAAAAAGATAAAGGGGTATTCTGGAGTAGTTTGAAATGGTTTTGGAACACATGATAACAATGGACTAGAGGTACAAATTCTCTTGGGTATAGTTTTTGCAAGTAGAGTGAAAACACAAGAATTTGCAAGAATAATACAAAATGATCAGTGAGAAGAAGAGATAATTTAAGTTGGAATGAGAAAAGAATGGATGAAAACCCACTTTTATAGGTGTGTCTTGTGCCTAACGCGCCAGTATTGGCCAACAATAGGGCCAACAGTTAAATCTATAACTGTCAAATTATCCAACGCACCCACATTAGTAGGAAGCGTGGTCGCGTTGGAGGCTGGTGCGCCCACATTTTTTCTAGGGGAGAACTATATTTTTCTCCATAAAATTTTGTTTTCTCTCACTTTCTTCTTGATACTTGCTACCTCCATTGCCCTTTTTAACATTCTACATGTTTAGCAAATAAATTAAAAATACCAACTCAAACATTGTGAAACAAACATAATTTAAAACTAATGGAGTTTAAATTTAATTGGAATGAAATTGAAGTAAGTTATCGAACTGTGGGTTTCCTCCATGCATCGCTTGTTTAAGGTCACGAGCCTGACTCCAGAGCCTAAGGCTCTATGAGTACCACAAATATCATCTACGATGTTTTATCAACAACTCAAAAGGTCCTCATCTCCTTGGTCTTAACAAAAAACCTTTTGAGTCTTCAAGATCTTTTACTACCACACTTCAATCTTCATATAATCTTTTAATAATGTAAGGCTTATATGCCTTACACCCAAGCACACCCAACAATCCTTTTATCTTGGATTTCTTCCAAATAACTCTTTGTCCCACTCTCAATTGTTCTTTTGTTCATTTCTTCTTCTTAAGTGATTTTAGCATTTTACTTACCTCGTAGCATTGAGGATACTTAGTAGCTTCAAAGACATTGGAAACCACTTGTTCCTTATTGAACCTTAATGCTAAATCACCTGATTTGACATCAATAAAAGCTCTTCTTATTTCTAGGAATGGTCTTCCCATTATTATAGGGGTTTCAGCGTCTTCAAGCATGTTCGAGATTACATTATTGATCTTCATTAAGTCTTTGTTTTCCCATTATTGATCTTCATCTAAGTCTTTGTTTTCTCACTTAACCTCAATCTCCCGTCCTTGATGGCGTTTTGAACAAGATCCCTGAAAAGAAAACATTGAGAAGTTTTATGACCCAAAAAATTATGATACTTACAAAACCCTCTTTTCTTCCTTTGCTCTAAAGGAGGTATTTTAGCACCGGGAGGCACTATCATTTGACCATCCTTAACTAATAAGTAAAAAAATTTGTCACATTTAATGGTGTCGAAGGTGTAAGTTCTCTTAGGGAACCTATCGTTTTTATTGGGTTCGAACGGATTCTTGCCGTTTGAGGGAGCTAAGACCTTACATGAATAAGGGGGCCCTTGTTTTAATTCAGCAAGATCGATCTTACTTTCGTCGAAGTTGGAAGGCTCATTATACTGGCCCACATCATCTTCATTAGATTCGACATAGGCTACCCTCTTGTTTTTATTTTCCCTAGCCTTTTCCTCTTTCAAACGTTCCAATTGTCGAACCTTGTCAGCCAATTGGGCTATATCTCTTAGGTACTGGGTGTCTAGTTTCTTCCTAATAGAATAATCTAGACCTCTAGCGGCCATTTCAACCAGTTTGTGCTCTGGTAGTTGTGTAAAGCACCTGGCTTTAAGTAAACAAAATCTGTTCAAATAATCATTTATTGGCTCAGTGAACTTTCGTTTGATACTAGACAACTCCTTCAAACTAATCTTGGTTTGGCCCATATAAAACTGTTCATGAAACAACCTTT